TTCAACAATCCACATTTGTCTGGTCACAGATGCTTCCACAAAATAAATGGAGGTACTCTGGAGACAACAAAGCGATGGAGCGATCCCGTCTCAAGGCCAATAGGGTAGCTGCTTCATCAGTTTTAAAGATGGGGGGTTGTTACATAAAATACCCTGATTTGTTGAAAAACATGTTGCAATTTTTGTTGTCAGATGGCATACATCTCAACAAGCTAGGAAACAAGCTCTTTCTTAATAATATTAAAGGGGGTTAGAATTCTTCCAGACAAAACAAGGCAATGTGTATCCTTAAACAATTCTTAAAGAACATTGGTCCGTGGGGGCCTTTTAGTCAGTTGCTTGGGTGCTCACCCATGTATGGGATGATTGCCACCTCTCCTTAGATTGTTCGCGGTCATGTGGCGTTTACGTACACCAAAGCAACTGAGGCCTACATAAACTTTGTATTGTTGTGAAGTTGTAACCATTGAATTGTGAAGGGGGTTGAAGTGTTGAACCATTTTGTATGTGAAATATTTGCTTATATATATATATATGTTGATCTAATTTGTTTTGTGCTTAAATTGTGCATATAACTTCTTGCAATTATTTAAGTTACCTTAAATATGTATCCATCCGCAGTTTATCCATTTCTGAACATATGTTGTTTGTGTTGATGAATTTTGTTGAATTTGTGTGGGTTTTGCCTAAAAGTTGTGTGTATTGGCATCCAACATAATACTATGCTACGGCCTATGTTCGCCAAATAAAAGTTAAAGCAAACATCTTGTTGTCATTTCCCTGTATAAATAATATCATCTACATGTATTTTATGCACTTTATTTTACGGGGGAAAAGTATTAATTTTGGTCGGGATCGGCCTGAAATCCTGGTTATTATATAATATCATATATAGTGAATAAGTTTATTTAAATGCACGACATTTTTTGATGTTCTATGTTATGCTATACTAGTACAACGAAACTGATTATAGATAGGAGTTATCCTTCCTAACTGAAAATTCATCTTTGCTGTCAGGTTAGATTATTTTCCTTGAGTCACAGATCGCTGTGTTAGGTAGGCTGTACATATAACTTGATTTTATGAAATCCAGAAGGTATTGAAGCAAATTTCATTTAGAATCTACAATTATATGGAGATAGAATAATGAAAAATGACATTTGACCTTAAAATCTTTCATTTTAATTTTTAGGAAGAAGTGCTACAAAATTCTTTTCAGCAACTTGCTGGACACAGAGTAGGTTAAATATTTCTATGACAAGCTTTTTTCATAATATTTGTAAGAATTCTTTGCATCGGTCTTAAATATCCCACTCACCCATTACCATAGTTTTAAGTTAAAATGATTGCATATTTGGTTCTTGTTGCTGGTTTTTCCTTTGTATTTTGCAGAATATAGCATTGGAAGTCCTATTAATGAAATGTCGTGGCATACACTGAACAGGAGTGGCGTTTGCGCACACCAAAGCAAATGAGGCCTACATAAACTTTGTATTGTTGTGAAGTTGTCTCCATTGAACTGTAAAGGGGGTTGAAGTGTTGAACCTTTTTGTATGTAAAATATTTGCTTATATGTTGATCTACTTTGATTTGTGCTTAAATTGTACTTGCAGCTAAATAAGTAACCTTAAATAAGTAACCACCCGTAGTTTACCCGGGGTGGTCATTTTTGAACATATGTTGTTTGTGTTGATGAATTTTGTTGAATTCGTGTGGGTTTGCCCAAAAGTTGTGTGTATTGGCATCCCACGAAATACTATGCCACGGCCAATGTTCGCCAAATAAAAGTTAAAGCAAACATCTTGTTGTCATTTCCCTGTATAAATAATACGAGATAAATGGAAGGGTAAATGTGAGAGACATCAATTACTTGGCAAATGAGATCACGTTGTGCCTACATGTATTTCTACTTCCTGTTAAATTTATAGGACAGTATGGCCAATGATAACACAAGATCACTAGTCGGTAAACTTTGGTCCGAGTTCAAACATTCCCTCATTGACAAAATATACATATATAGGCATAAAACAAATACCCACCATATTATGACGTCCAATAGACTGTTTTGTAAACCTCAACCCTAAGACTGTTGTTTTCCAGTATAGACTCGGTTTATAGTTCCTTATCTGACTAAACTAAGGTCTGAATATTTAGTAATCAAACATATTGACTTGACAAATAACAAACACAGAGTATCTTTACATTTCAAGAATTATTGATATCGAGAATCACATATGAAACACTCATTTTCATTTAACTCTCTCATTAAAAGGAAGCTGATGTCAAGTTGCTACGTACAATTGTACATGTAATACAAATGTAATTGCAACTGATATGATTTCAATTTGTATGTTATGAAATTCTACCAAAAAGCTTGAGGGTTATAAATTTAAATCTGTGTTCATGTCCCTTTAAGGAGATAATACGATTTTATGTCCAGCAGAAAGGACAAGGTACGGTAACGCCAAATTTGGCCCCTTATTTGATTTTTAAAAAGCTGAAATTGTGAAAGTTTGCAGTTAACGAGGTTGGATCCTGATATTTAAAGTCTTAAACTTTTTTTTGTCAAGTATATTTTTAGCTTCTACACACATAGCTTAATTAAAAATCAAAACAAAAAATGGGGGTCAATATGCTTCATTTGGCGCTACGATACATTTAATATGACTTTTTTGCACTGAAATATGTGTCTTAATCAAAAATCACATCTTCGACGTTTTCCCTCCAATGCTTTTATCCAAATAAATCATGGGACAAAATAAACTATTAGTCTATTTAAAAAAAAGACAAATTAAAATTGTGACTAAGAAAAAATTTCAAATTGCTTCACATAATCATAATAATGACCTTTCTGCACTCACAAAATGTGATTTTTCTGGCATTTAAAATCTAACAAGCAAGAAAATTATTTTAAAGTCTTAAACTTTTGCTTAATTTAAGCAGATTGATCAAAGTTATCTTATAAATTCAGAAAAGAAAAACAAAAGTGGGGATCTATGATGTAAATTTTTAGATATTACTAAAAAAGTGTTAATTTTATGTTAAATTGGCTAAATTTTTTCCTGGACTTTCAGAATATATTCACTATATTTGACACAATATAATGAAAGAATTCATAAGAAATAATTTAATAGATATTTCAGTGCCATCATAAAACATTTCACTGCAAAATACAGCTCTATGTTTAACCAGCATGGAAAAATAGGAATCTTAACTTAACAGTACTGTATATATTTCAAAAGGGAAAAATTGATAATTTTCTTCTTAAAAGACCTTCCGCCATAAAATATAGTTCCTGGCTTAATCCTATTTGAATGGAATTTCATCGCGGTTTTTTCATTGGATATAGTTTGATTTGCATTGTAGAATCCAGATTTAATGTTAGAACTTAAAAATGACGCAGAATTTTAGAAATAAAGGTCCAGACCAAAATCTGCTCAAAAGCACAGGATCGAACCTCCTTAAGAACCATAAATATTTCTTGTTTCAAAACCAGCCCTAATTCTGATTCATAGTGTGTACAAAGGTAATAAGAGGGTGACGAAGTTTGACATTTTAATGAATTTCATCAGTCCTGGGGAATTCCGTCAATTTGAGTTACTGTTCGCTTCGGAAAACATAGAGAACAAGCTTGCTATCTGAGATTTTCATACAAATACGTGTACAACCGCCTGAAATATGTAAAACTGGTAGATAGGCAAATTTGCGCCAAATAATTTTTTTCTAAAAAGAAATGTACGTGCTTTAAAATTAATGAAAATTTGAATAAAATTCAGACAATTTGGAAATTGGCCACTTTGTGATCTTCCAGTGACCTCTGGGAATCCTGTCACTAAGAATAATTACTCATTTTGTTACAGGGATGAAATCAGGTTTCTAATGATGAACTATTGCATCGTTCTCAGAGACACCCAAAACCAGCTAGGGGCCAAAAGGGTACCTTGTCTTTCTTGTCCTTTAAAATTTCTGTCATAAACACTACTGGATATGTATTTCTTTATTTATACATAATTTTATTCACAAAAAGTGAAAGGAATTGGGCAGCAAGTATAGCTTATTTTAGCCCTTTCCCCAATATGATACGCTTTTTGAAAAATTTACTATATAATAACATTAGATGTTTCTCAAATAAAGAATTATCTCAAAAAGTAAGCTTACGATCTTTCAACATGTAGACATTCTATTTCACATCAAGAGAGGAGAGTTCCCTGGTTTAAAAGTCACTTTACCTCATAAACGTTACCTAAACCTTGTGATCAAGAAATGGTAAGTATCAGAACAAAATGAGGGACAAAGTAAAAGCTTTCTGTAGCGTGACATTTCAAGGTTCGGTCCCTCTTTTTTATTCTTTTGATTTCTCAATACATGTGTAATTACCATTCTAGAAAAGATAAAAAAAAATATTTATTATCATATGCCTTTGGATTAAATAATCCTTCGGTACAACTATCAATATTGTTGTGAATTGAAATATTTACTTGTTGTGAGCTTATGAGATTAATCACATAATCAAAAATACGAGATATGGAGTTAGATATTAATCTGCAATTTAATGGCAAAGGCATTGAGCAAATATGAAATGAATACGTTCTCAACTGGACTGTAGAATAGGCACTAGTACTAATAATAACTCTTAAGCAACGACTAACTAGACTAAGTCTAGCTACTTCACAATTTAATGAAATGCGAAGGAGTGAAAGAAATATTGTTCTATCCTAATAGAAATAAAATTAATTTTATCGGCAATTTGTCAGCTGTAAGCTACTGATTATAATTGAAATATTGATTTTTCTTCGTTAGAGGTACATGCATGTAATTTATTTCAAGAGAAAAGAAGTGCATGAAGACAGAGAAATTTAAGTGTTCATCTAATCTAAAGCAGAGCAACTGAAATACTTGAATACTGGAACAATTCATGAACTGTGCTTGAAGAAAAAGGGACTGGAAAATGATTTACAAATAAAACTAATATAAGATTATTTTATAAATTGTGTATTTGATTATATTGAGGAGTAATGGACAAGAAGAATAATAAGAAATATTAATGTTGTGAGTGAAATAGCCACCATGTAAATAATAAAAAAGAATTTATCCAGAATCTCCGAAAATTCGCGATATGTTAGTTTTTCTGTTTCACTATAATCTTCGATTTGCGCATTTTCTACAAGAATGTTACTGTCTTTCTTTTCGTCGTCAATAGAGGGCGCAACTTTATTTTTGTCACTTCCGATAAGTTTGTGGCAACGAAATTTTCTGGAGAACTTTTTTATCCAGTTTGGAACTTCTTTCTCCCCTTGAAAATGAGCACTTAGAATGAAAATGACGATATTCACAGAAAGTGTACTAAATGCAAGCGTCAATCCAAGATAAATTGCTGAAAAAAAAAATAAAACGAATTTCTATTCTATTGACAAAGCAATTACTCTATAAAGATAATTACATGAATACTAGTAACAAGTTTTATTCTTGCATAATAAATCATGAAAAGGTTGCGAATTTATATTGCAAAAATTATTTACTTTTGAAAAAAGAATAATTGATTTTTTCTAAGAAACTATAATTGCTATTCTTCAGGCTAATCTGATTTTAAGATATGGTTGTGTACTCACATAGATAGCAAACGTTCATTGAGGTGCTTGGAATATTATCAGAAATTAGTGTTAAGTATACAGCGTAGGCTAACAGTACGGTTAAGCAGTACCCCATCTTTTCTCCAGAGTCTGATGGCAACTTGTATACCATTGGTATCAAAAACGCCATCAAGACAACCGGAAATATCGTGTTTAGTGCGTGGAAAAGCGGTCTCCTCCTCAAAGATATCGCAAAAGACAAACTAGAAAACGATTGTCCACCTCGAGATCTATCGCTGGATTTGTAAGCTATGGCTGATAAAAGATCCCACTCTCCGTTTTCACTATAAAAGCCCAAGTCGACCGGTTCTGTAGCATCCAGAATCAGGTTTATTTCTGCTTGCGTGTAACCCCAGGTACTGACTTTGATAGTACACGTCTGTGAATCTAGTGGGTAGTAGGTAATGTCGGACTCGCAGGCCACTTTGTAAATCCCTGCGGGACTCCATGCTATTCTTCCGTCACTTCTGATCCGCATTGGGATTTTGGTGTCGCTGATGATAGAAATATCATCAATTCTGCAAAACAGTATATACCATTATTAAACAAAATGTAACGATGTGCATATGTAATTTTTTTTTTTTAGTTTTCATTTGGTAAAAGATCGACATGAGGAATAGTTTCTTCACTGAAAGGGGAAATGTCATAGAGATTTTACGACTTCATGAGAACAGAAACTAAACTTATTTTACTTTTCAATGTAATAAATTATTGATCCTATTAAGAATAATAATGATGGGATATTCTTAAAACGAACAAAAATTCAGATGATTTTTCAAAGTTGTTTGAAGAACTCGGATGATGCATCACATTTGCGACTCTTATCTTTATTGAGTTGGGAAAATTAAGAGTGACGCACATCACGTCAATTACTTTGGGGAGACGGTATTAATGACATGGAGTCATTTCAGGAGCTTTAAAACCAATGGTCCATAGATTATATACATTTATATACTGCGTGGAATAAACTAGTGAATAATTACCGTAGGATTGCGGGCCATGGTTAGCAAACAACAATGTTTAATTGTTTTTTTTTTTATGAAAGTATAAAAAAAGTACGTAAATTACTCTCGAGGACTGATAAAACAATACAAGCATCCTCCGGTAGCAAAATTAACATCTTATTCCGTTTATTACAATAGGGTACAGGGGTGTGCAATTAAAAAAATTAAGTACTAGCCCACGGGCTAGTGGAAGCAATAAAGTTACTAGCCCCAAGTAAAAAGTTACTAGCCCAAATGTAGGGGGGGGGGGGGTAACAACTAATATTAAAAGGAAATAGTTTATTGTTGAAATAGTCAGGGTTTAAAATAAATTTGATTATTTTTAATTCTCAGTAGTAAAATTAAATCATATGTAAATTAATAATTATGATAGAAAATAAAAATAAATTCAAATAAATTATCTTATCTAAAATGAAATGACAATCATTTTTTCATTTTAAATCATTAAATACGCTGGAAATATATTTTATGTAAACCACATATCACTTATTTTCAGTTGATTGAGTGATCGTAAATAATTTAATGAGATATCTGCAGGTGTATTTACCATAAACAGAGGAATAGAGGAAATTCGGATTAGATAATAACGATCGTTTTTGGAAGTAAATTACTTCAGGTAGTACTGCAAAATGGATAAGATTATGGAGATTTACGAACAATAGGAACATGCTGCCGAAAATTGTTCATTGCTTGAGAATTTAATAGCAAAAAATGAGTGAAAATACCGATAGTGATTTTCATGTATTACATTGGTAGTTTTAATTTTTACTAGCCCAAGGGGCTACCTCCGTGCACAAAACTACTAGCCCGACCCAGAAAAATGGTAGCCCCGGGCGTCGGGCGATGCTAATTGCACACCCCTGGGGTATCGAGCAAAGCTTACACGGTTGAAAAATTAAAATGGAATACTAGTACGGTACCTTCTCCCGAGATTGGTTTCTAAACTTCATAAGCAAGCATACTCATACAATTTAGATTAGAATTGTGATACAACTACTTTCTTAATCCAAGTGTTTACGATCATGATTGATATATGTGACATTGCATATACATGGATACTCACGAGTTTTCAATTATCAATGCTGGAGTCCAAACATATACTTCTGTGCTGAATAGAAAATTAATACTGGTGTAGTCTTGGGATGTGGCTGAAGTATTGCTCCAGGAAAGTCGATCATCTGTCCAGTCCTTATAAAGCGAAAAAGAACTAGACGTTAGGGTAAATATTGCATTTTATCTGATGATTTGCAAAGTGTAAAATTTCGAATTAAATAATCATATCACACACATACATGTACTGTAGATTCCTAAATATACGCGTGGAATTAATTACTTTAAACCAACTATTATTCGCGTTTACTTTTATTCGCTATTCGTCAGTTTGAAGTAAATCCGTGACGATTAATTTTCGCGACTGAGGAGACATTCTCTACAAATACAAAAGAAAATAAATGGTTCGCAGCGATTAATATTCGCGAGTTAAAGTTGGTCGCGAAACTCGCAAATTTCTCGCATGCGAATAAAAGTTGGTTTACAGTATCGCGTAATTTCGCGAGAAGCACCACTCGCGAAATAAAATTACTCGCTTTTATTTTTATGGTGCTGAAATCTATGTAAAATCTCTTGATCAACCTTCCATTCGCAAATTATTACTCTCGCGATTTGACGTTAACCCTTTCGCGATAATAAGTACTTGCGAAAAATAAGGAATCTACAGTATTGTACTTTGAAAGCAAAGGGGAGAAAATTGATGTCCTACACTGGAACAATGTATTTTCGAAAGAATTACTTTGGTTGTTTGCATGTAGGCTTGTCCTTTTGTAATTGACTAATAATAAATACATGCATAAAATGATTTAGTAGTATGTAGTGACTGTCGAAATGATTTTTGTTCAAACCGGTTTGTTAGTGAATGTTAAATAATAGGCATTCTCAAATTCCTCTTCCCTCGAGAGCTCTGTTGATGTCGATACACCTCGAACTTGCAATTAGAGCAGCTCTAATTGATAGTAGTAAGAAATGTCTTCGTGTATTTTCTTTCTATTAAAAAATCGAAAAGGTTGGCGTATATGAAATTGCTATCGACCAATGGATCAGGTGTCCTTCCCGTGAAATTTTTGCTCAAATTAACAGAAAAAAATCCTTACGTCATTGATTTCAGTTGCGTAATTAGAACGAATTAAAAAAAACTTACCACTGTTAGGTACCCCGATATGGATAGAATCTGGTCTTTGATGTTCTGTAATAAAAATAATACGATTATAGAACATTACTTCAACAAAGATTTCGTCTTTTATTATTATGGCGTCATGGATCTTGATAAGACCGAGTTTAAGTATATTTTTATTTTCATGGGAATACAAATTTCTGGACTTGCATAACATTTTTATTTTTCTATTTTCCATTTTCGTTGTGCTTGAGTCAAGGTAAAAAAAAAATAACATCCTCATGCAACTCACCAGTTTATGATGTATAGTCACTAAACTTTTTTTTAAATGTTTAGATATCATGAGCAAAAAAAAAAAAAAAAAAAAAAAAAAAAAAAAAAAAAAAAAAACTCGAAACATTTTATTAATTTGGGTGATATATTTGTTATATATGTGATTATAATTTTATTTAAGGTTGGGGGGGGGGGTGTCTACAGTGTATGGAATGATCTACAGCCATTGGTAGTTTGTATTTAAATACACCATTAAAGAATTTTTTCCCAGTTTACTTTGAAATAATTACAGAACTTGTTTATTGATTTGCGATATTCAATTTTGCAAGGGGAGATATCAACATTCAGTTAAGATTGATTTTGTGGAAGTTACGCTTATAAAGCATGATGCCTCTGTGATTCGTCTGATTAGACTAAAAGTAATTGTGTGAATTAAAATATCACAGAAATTATATGTAGAATATATTGATTTTTTTAAAGTAATTATTTTTAACTTCTTCTAGCACTTAAATTTATGACAATTCTTTCGGAAAAAATCATTTTTAAAAAGAATGTAAAGTTCGTAGTTCCTTAATCTACAGTGTGTTTCCTTTGATGCAAAACAACCTAATTTATCTTTTAACACACCATCGAAAAAGAAAAAGTGATTTTTTTTTTCTTAAGGAAAAAGAAAAAAAAACTTCCCAGTGAATTTTCTTGAAGTGAAGATTTATACACTCTATTATAATAAAAATCATGATCATCTAAGTCCAAAAACCAATTCTGTCTTCACATTGAAAGTGACCTAATGTATGAAACTCGTATATATGTAATTAGGACAATTTGGTTTGCAGCATCAAAAATGTAGCTTTTAAATGGTGCTTAAATTAAAAATGGTTTAGAGGAGTAAAACATAAATATTAATTAGACAACAAACGAAAAAATAAAGCAAAAATTAATTATTATTTTAGATGTAATTTGAATTTCACTGAAACAAAAATCCCAATATCCAACCAATTATTTAGAGAGCATAACAGGTTGTGATATGGTGTTATACATTTATCTGCTAAGTTATAAAGAATACCTTGTTTATTTTATGCATATATGTGAAGCAATTTTGGTTACGGATCTTTTCATACAGTGAAATTGTTCAACAACGATTTGATTTCTCCATAAGATATAAACCTACTTGCAATTTAATAAGAATAATACCATACATGTACACAAGAATGAAATCTTATACTGAATATACATGTAGTAATGCTATTGTGAGTGTGTGGGTGGGTTAGTTTGTTCTTGTGTGCGTAACGGAGTGACGTAATTTTCGAAGGGATCGATGTCAAATATCAGTGTGAATACATACCAGTTCATTAACAGTTAGCAAAGTTAAAGACACCTTGGCGTTGACCCTTTGGTTTGGTCGCTGGAGAACGGAATAGTTCCCCGTGTCAAATAACTCCGTACGTAGAGCAGTTTCCAGGGCCCGGGAGTATACTGGAGGGGTTGGTGGACCGGGAGCATATCCCCCACGGAACATCAAGGAGACTGTTTAACAAAACATTGAAGATAAAGCTTAGGGTTTAGGGCAGATCTTGTACAATAATCAAAAATGGAAATTCTCAATTTTGATCTTTTGATTTCTGATACAAATTACAATTAATCATGCATTCTTGAAGATAAAACTGAGCCATCGAAAACCTTTCATTGATATCTAAAAGTAAACACATTGTCCTATTCAGTATACTGTATTTAACATATCCTTTACATTACAACTTATTGAAAAAACACATCCAACTTTTTTTGTTAATTTAAAGTTAATTGTATGTAAGAATAAAATGAAAATCATGCAATACGTGGAAGAACATGTAGTCCACATAATAATATTCTATCATATATATATAAGGCTTTATAAATTACCAATGTGGCAGAAATGTTGATATTTACCCTCAAACAAATCTGCATAAGTGTTCGATAAATGGAAGAATATCTTATAAATCTTAAATTCGTATTATGTAATACATGTATCATCATAACATATTTCACGCATCTTTTACATGCGCGGAACCCCCCCCCCCCTCCTCTTGGATTTTCTGTTAAAGGTTCTAAGTTAAAGTTACGAAGAAATGACATTGGGCCCACCCACCACAGACCCCTCTTAAAATGGTAAGAAGAGTCATGTATCTGAAGAAAATTGACTTAGGGAAGTGTTTCTCTTTACCCCTCGCTTGGGCCATCTTTAAAAAGATTGTTTGCACTCGCCCGACCGACTGGCTAAAAATGCCCCACTCAAAATTTTTGAAGACTCCAGGAAAAGGTTACTTTTATAAAATTCAATTTGGAATTTTCTCAACCCGTCAACAACTTTTATTTTTTTATTCATACCTTCAATTTTAATAGATATTGAAAAAACATCATTGATTTCCATGTTGAAAATTTCGGGGGGGGGGGGGGTCCATCTACATGTACCTACCGACCCAATTTTTTTATCCTGAGTCTGGAGAGGGCAATTAAGCAAACATTATTTTAAAGATGGCTTTGTCAAAACATTTCTGAGTTTTGTATTTGTTAGAGTTGATGTGGGACCCCCCCGTCCCCGGAAAAAAATCCCGTATTAGTTGTATACATTTATGTGTACATGTACTACTAATCTAATGTGCAGCTATTTGACTCAACGATATGACTTCTTTTTCCCCTAAATGCATGTACCTCTTTCCGATCTTCCCTCTTATAAATGAAATATGAAGATAACGAACAGTACTCAAGCTCAAAAGTCCATTGAAACAGTACAAATTTAGAGCAGAGCAATAATTATATATTCATACATTCAATTAAATATCTGTACTAAACGAATAAAGAAGTTATATTCCAGAACAAATTAATTTTATTGATAAACTGAATGGCATTATATATATTTCTTGATGACCAATACCGAGGGATTTTTGATCAATATTTTATATCAAAAACATTAATTAGTAGCCCATTCTACACCGATTTAGTATTCCTGACTAGCACGGAGTTTGTTAGTTGTTTTTTTTTTTTTTTCTCAATTTTTTGTAAAATTTATGTGTTAAAAGTACATTTATATATTTCATTACTACAATTTAAAAAATGTGATAAATATTTAGTAACTGAATCAAGTTATTGATCGTTCTTACGAGGCACAATGTAAAGGCACACATTAAGGGAAAACCCCAGAATTAAAGAAAGAAATAGAAAACGTTAACAATTTGGTAAAGTACACCTGGTCTGCCATAAAAAATCGTAAATTGCCCATCTACACAACCCATTTTGTTAAAAATACCTAAGGATAAAACTGAATATATAAATTTAATTAAAAATAAATGCTTCGGATTGTATCCTAAAGGAAAAATATCTACATGTAGTCTTCATCGTGATATATATATATATACAATTGTATGCGCACACTAAATTCAAATGATATTTATTAACTACAAGTATGAAGTAGTACCTTACACTGAGTAAAATTTTTGTGCTTCTGCATGGAAACTGCATTGCTTTGTGACTGGGTTTTATAAGTATAGTGAAAGCTGCATTTCGTGTTTGAAATGAATACTTAGACTAGTATTGCAGATTGTGCATGTAGTAACATTAACTAAATAATGTAGTCATCCGCGTGTCAATTTCTATAATATAATTATTTACTAAATGTGATTGTAAATTGATTTGTTGTTCCTGAAGTGGGTCTGCCCATTTTGTGTTGATTTGATTGGCGACGCACGGAATATGAAACCACTTTACCCATCACATAGACATAAAATAAATAATTCTTAATTTCGTTTGCTTTTAATTTCTGTATATGTAACTAAAATATGAGAATATACAGTGCATATTAAGAATATGAGGTACCTATAAAGTCTGAATATTGAATTCTGTTCTAACATTCCTTACGTTGCATTTTGAAATATACTTAATACGGGATTTGAAAAGGGGGGGGGGCATAAAAATGAATAACTAACACTTGATTTACATTTAGTTGAGTCCTTATCTTGATTGAAAACAAAAGCATTAAGAGAAACAGTATTGAAAGTGAATTTTCTCGGGTCAATTGCAAAACAGAATTTAGAAAAAAAATGACTTCAGGAAAAGTTTACAATATCCTGACATTTTTCTTACTATCAAAACATAAGATTTATGTATATATTTTTCGCCAAAAGTAAGTAGGTAAACAAAAACTTACTTAATAAGTACACATACAAAATATTCCCAACTAACAATTCCATCCTGAGTGATTGATCAATTGCAACCGAATTAAAAATCCTACATTGACATGCAGGAATGTTAAAATCCGCCTTTTCTGTCATAGACGTCAGATGAGGTAAATTGAAATAACTAGATTTAATTGCCAGGGGGATTATCGACAGCAACGAAGTCCCACCCGTTGTGACATCATAATTGTTTTCCAATTCTGAAGGTTTCTCGTTGTTTATATTCAGATCAACACTTACAAGTTCATGCATGTTTACATAGCAATCGTTAACGTTTACTCGTATATATACATTTCTAACCCAATTAATTGAGTTCCTGACCAGAATATTTTTTTCCTTTCATTTGTTAATGATATTAATTGATTGGACTATCAAGTAATGTTTACATTTGTTATTGACAAGTCTTAAATAAACTCTTTGCGTCCTATTGTATGTAATTCCTCAACATACTGTACGACTGAGGAAAACACATTTTCAAGTGAGGTGACTAACCTTTTTTTTCTGAATAATATACATGTAATACTGCCCTCTCCGCCAACATAGATTTGATTCCAGTATCAGGTAAAGCTGGATTTTTTTTTTTTTTTTTTTTTTGAGAATGATTCATTCTATTACTAAACTTTGCCATGAAATTTAATGGAATGGAAATTAATTTGTTTGAAGTAGGTGATTAGGCGTTTAATAATTAATTTCATGTAAACATTGTACTACATTAAGTACTACAACATAACTCAAAAATGAAAGACATTGCATTGGTAACTGATGTATCTGGGATCATTTGATGAGGATCTGTCTATTTACATTATTTTTTTATTTACAACAATTAAGATGTTATGTATAAATGTTTTCTACTTGGGGTCAAAATGTCAATGCTAAACCAGCATGTCGTATTTTAAACCCAAACCAGACCTTCTAACATCAAGGTTAATGAACCCTGACCAGTGATTTTTCAAACACATTTAATCAAAAAAGCAATTATTTTTAACCGAGGGGACTTTTATCATTAAATCAATATATTACTTTTGAAAAACACTGTACAGTAATACAATTATAGGTGAAAACAGCATAAAAAGAGGTCAAGGGAAATGGCATTTTGAAAATAGTATATTTAATTTTCCAGTAAATCATATGCATTGACCTGTGATATAACATATCGTTTTGAATCATGTCAAATACCAAAAATATATATATAATATGCCCCCTCGCCCTTTAATAAACATGGAGAATTAGCAAGTTTTGTTTTCTTTTTCTTTCTTTTTATAAAGTAAGGAATTTTGACCAGGACGCAAAGTAAGAACATTTTCTTCAAGTGTCAGTGGACGAAACGTTTGCAAAAACAAAACAAAACAAAAAACAAAAACAAAAACAAAAACAAAACAAAACTCAAATGTTCTTCCAAGTTATTAATTTTTTAAACACCTGTAAATGTGGTTTATTTATAAATATATATAGTATATCCAAATGCACTTATTATTGCATTTGTTTAAATGGCAGTCCTGCTTTTCCGCGATTTTATTTCAGTCCCCCTTTCTACTTTTCCGCGATTACTTCACACTCTCTGCGATTGGTTTTAACTATTAGTTGTGTGATATAGAATCGAATTTTAATGTCAAAATACAATGAGATATGTTTGTCGTATAGGTAGTCGTAGGATATCTTTCTTAATCGTGTTGAATCGCAGCAAATCGCCAAACTCGGCGATTGGTTTGAGCAATCGTGGACACAGTACGATTTTTAATTATTCGTAGACAATCGCACAACCTCCGCATTGCATCCGTACACATATTCGTAGTAAATCTTCGACAGTCGTGCGACATTCGCGGAACTTCGTAGTACACGCGACACTGCGAGTGTCTTACCGTATACGAGTTACTGCGAGTGTCTTTCGAGTTACTGCTGGCGTCCTACGAAATACTGCGACTGTTCTTCGAATTAATAGGAACACAGTAAGATTTTCCCGCGAATATGAAACGAAAAAAGGACGATTGATGGCAAGTGCTGTACGAGTACTGTGCGATTGAACTACGAGCTAATACGATGTATGCGGATATTGTCTGATGTTAATACTGTCGAAATCAAAATACCACCTAAAATAAAAAGAAAGAACCTAAGAAAAATGAAATAAACTAAAAATGCATGTGTCACAGAAACTATAAAGAGCGTGTTCAATAAAAAAAAGAGTGTTTTCATGAAGAAATTGAACATAATCAAAAGCTCCACACTCATATGACACTGTAGCTTTTACCCTGATCAAATAACTTTACTATAAAAAAAATAGGAAGTTTCATATGATTTCAGGCAACTCTCCCTTTATCTTATATGCATTTAATTACATGTATATTCGTAAGAAATCGTCATCAGTTGTAGGAATATCGTGTATGTAACGTGGCACATCGTAGTCTTTCGTACGAGTATCGTATGTAACCGCGTTTAATCCTTCATAATCGTGGAAATATCGTAACCAGTTTTGATGCTGTTGCCTCAGTTTTAGTTAAATCGTGCAAACCTTGTACTTTGTCGCACAGACATCGTAGACACGCTGTTGTAGCAGCAAAATATTCCACACACTATGGAAAAATCGCAAGACTAATCTGGCGATGAACGGCGATTTTCAACTTTTTCTAATTCGTGGGTAATCGTAGCATAAATCGTGATAGTGTAACACGGTCTTTATACGTCATGGGTTCGAATCCACTGCTGTGGAACGTAGAGACCGATACTTGGGATGAGACCGTATAAACATAGGTCCCGTGTCGCAGTAGGTGCCGACACGAAAAAGATCCCTCACTGCTCAATGGACCTCAGTGCCGAGTAAAGGTCTAAAATTTGCAGCCCTTAACCGGCAAGTGGTTGTGTCTCCATATGATTGAAAAATTCTCGAAAGGGACGGTAAACAAACAAACAAACGAACAAAACAAATTACAAGGGTATTCATTTTGAAATTGTAGTAACCAATGTATCATTTTAAATATACTATGAATACACGTATAGAATAGTCAATGATTTAAACAATGGCGATGATTCTTACTGATGCAGCGTAGAAAGCGTATGCAAAGCCACAATTACAACTATTGAAAGAAAAATGGCTTTGTAAGCTGTTTGCATGGCTAACGGAAGCAGTACATATTAAAATAAGTCGCGGAAATGCAAAATGTATTATTCGCGGAATGGCCGTATCGTATAAAAAGCCAAGATAAATCCAAACACTTTATTTCCCTGTATTTTCCCATGCAGCTTAAATTAAACACATTTCTGTTCATCAATACTCCATCGTCTTTTGAACATTTTTCCTGGGAGTAAATGTATTATATTTGAAAATTACATAGATATTATGTAATTCTTTGAGGACTTTTTATGTCGGGGCAACCAAGGGGACACTTAAGGAAAAAAATATATCGGCATAGCAACCGTAGCCAACAGCTTCTTAACAAGCATTCGAATTCTCATGACCATTCTTTTTTGTCCATGAATGAGTGTTTGAATCCTAATTGAAAACCAGTCAGAGGGACAATTAAATAATCTGATAATTAAACCAAGGGTACATAAAAAGCTTCAGCCTGCAGTTGCAGCTGTGACAGTCCAATAGGAAAGGTACATTTCGATGTAAATATCATGATAAGAATATAGACAACATGGATTTTTTTATTCAGGCTAATTGGCTTAAGGATAAAGGTTCATTCTCGTTCACCGTGCTGCGTCAAACCTAAGACGTAACATTAATTTTATAGTGACTGTTCCTTCGCCAAGCGCCCGGCGTTAGAAATAAAAATCACGGGTCTTTCGGATGAGATCTTAAAAACTGGGGTCCCATGTCACAGAAGCCGATGGCACGATAAAGATCCCTCACTACTCAATGGCCCAAATTGCCAAGGTCTGTATTAGAAGCCTTTCACCGGTATATGGTAACCCTCTCTCTCTCTCTCTCTTTCTGTATATATATATATATATATATATATATATATATATATATATATATATATATATATATATATATATATATATATATATATATATATATATATATATATCAAGGCAGCATTTGACATCGATCCCTTTGCAAATTAAGTCACTCCGTTAGGCACACAAGAACAAAGTAACCCACCCACACACTCACAATCGCATTACTATATTCCCTCCAACTCCTCTGCGAGGGGATAAACAATGCCCGTTAAGTAAGAGCGAAAAATTCTTTTTACTGATTTTGGCTTAAATATGTTCTTAAATAAATTGGAAGCTTTCAAAATCTAACAAGATTGTAGAGTTTGGTTGGAAAATCATATTTATTAGATATATTCTAAATCGAAAATGGAAAAAGGTGAAGAAAACTAACAGAGATTAATCTAAAAAAAAATCTACAAACAATAGAAATCTGTAATCAGGACATAAAACACGGACTCCTGGAAATTCCAGAAATAGGATTAGGTGTCTAGGAGGAGTAAGCATTCCTTGTCGACCGGTTCAACCCGCCGTAAGCCATACGAATGTATTAACCAGGCAGATGGAATATTCCGTAGTCAAATTCATTATAAAAACAAAGACCTTACAATTGGTGTCAAACACGTCAGTCAAAATATTACCCAGTGAAAGATTATATTTGCTAACACTTGGTTATTAATTTCACTTTCTTCCGAAAATTACTTTAAGCCTTTGATTGTTAAAAATTTTCATTAAATTCATTATTTTGTTGTCTATTTGAGTAGCAGAACTTGATATATTTTCATAAGCCACCGTTCTGCCAAAAATTTAGTCCCTGCTAAATATTCAACTTAGTTTGCTATTTCTATGGAGAGTTATAAAATTGTGAGAAACAAAAATATGATCTTTTCAATCCGTAACATCTAAAATAATATATTAATGACATTTAAACAAATAATTACTTTGAATATTTTATTTTGTGAGAAACCAAACAAGAACCCTTCTTTAAAAAGCTGCCCTATCAATAACTGCTCAAAGAATCAATATGGATATAAAAAATGGTGCAATAAACGACTAGTATAATGCACTAGGTGTTAAGAAGAGCTTGAGGCAGATTGGTAGGATAGCAATTTCTCATTTCCATTAAAAAAATAATATAAGGAAAATATTTTTATTGCACAAGTCCTGTACATACATTGACCGCTAGGTAACATTGAAGGTTCAAAGGATGTAAATTATTATTTTAAATATAATAGAACACTTCATCCTCTCATTGATATGCGCCGATTATTTCGATTGTTCCTTCGGGGGGACCTTAACCTTGGTCGTGCAGTCCTCTGGTTTAGACGTAGTCTTCGAGTATTTGCGGTTCCTCGAGTTCGAGTATTGGCGGGTCTTCGAGTATTGCCAGAGGTTCTCTTAAGATTTAGGAACCTTCTAGATTGAAACTTTTTCCTTTCAGGTTTCTTTGGCCTATCCTTAATCCCTGCCTTCTCCAGTTGTTTAGCTTCTGGAATATCCTTTAAGTGATCCTTATTTAAATCTACCACAGTGTTAGGATCAGAAGCTTTTTTTAAGACCGAATCTATCTGAATTTGCGTTTTTGTAAGTTGAGTGTTTCCTTTCGCAGAACGGGCAAACAAAGCGTTGACAGGATACGGTTTACACGATTTACAACACACTGGCCTGTAATTTTCACAAACGTAAATGGGATTTTCCTTGACAAAATATTCACAGAATTGGCTAGCATCCTCGACACAACCTAAATATTGTTAAAAAGGAATACATATATAAGACTTCGATTGCTATGATTTTTCTTTTCTCTTGGGTGTAATTATTTTAAAAAGTGATAAGTGAGATCAATTATAGAAAAATGTTCAACTATTAACATGCGACATAGTATAGAAATATATGACTTATTATAAGTATTTTTTTTCTCTTTTGAAATTTTCAGTTATCAATCAATGAGTTATGGAAATCTCATCAACATGCACCTTTCTCGGCAATTTTTGTACACGTCTCGCAGCAGTCTTCCTTGACATTCTTGTAGAAACATTGTCCTGGATTCTTTTGTACATCCCAACATTTTCTGTCTTGTCTGTCGGAGCACGCTGTGAAAGAAAACACGAATAGTTTACAGTATTGAAGTCCAGTATTGAAAGTATTAAGAGAGGTATTATTCAATTAATAAACTTTGATTGCAGAAATGATTTTTAAAAGTTCTTTTATTTTACCAACCTTGAAAAAAATGTATGTTTACTAAATACTAAACTCGAAGGAAACTTGTAAAGAGACCAGATACATTTAAAACTTGTCATCCTCAACATAGACCCTAATATAAATTTTAAATCCACCCTTGACATATTTATTAAAGACAAGGCTAACCTCCACATTCTTTACAGCATAACCTTCTGAACATGTCATTATGGCATGGGATATACAATTGTTGTCCAACTTCTGTACAGGATCTAAATCCAAATTTAAGTGAAGGGTTGACACACAAATGTTGATATGGTGATACAGTAGCTGTTGTGGTTGGTACTGCTGTTGTTGTCTTTGGTAGTGGTTTAGATGCTGTGGTTGTTGGCTGAGTTGTTGTTGGTTCCGTTGGTGATGGAGTTGGTGCTTGTGTTGTTGTCTGTTTAATTGGTGATGGGGTTGGTGCTTGTGTTGTCTGTTTAGTTGTTGTTGTTGGTGGTGACTGTGTTGTTGTAGGTGGTGGTGATGTTGGCTTAGCTGTTGTTGGTGGCGGTGGCTGAGTTGTTGTTGCCTCTGTTGTTGTTGATGGTTCCGTCACTGGTGGTGTAGTACTAACTGGTGGTACGTAGTCAGCACAGGTATCACAACACTGATCTCGGTATGCTTCATCTGTACCACAATCTTCTGGTACACACGTGTCTATCTTATCACCATATTCACAACCTTAGAAGACATTACTTCAAATATCAAAGTAGTTCACATTTTGGACATGATAACATTGCGAGTAGTTAATTTGATTTGTCCTATCTGCTTGAATAAAAATATGCGATGTAATATTCAATAATCGATAAACCAGTATACCTTCCGGTCCTGTGTTCACTTTATCACATGTGTCACAACAATCTCTCTCCTCTACATAACACAGGGATGGGTTTGACAGTATTTTTGAACACGAGTCGCCCCTATCACCAAATGGACACTCTATTGATAAAATTATAATATGATTTATGTAACTTTTTGGCCTTGTAAAAATAATAATAATTGGATAATAAGACTTCAATTTTTTCAACAACTTTTTAAGTCTATAATTCGGCCTTTGCAGTTAGTAATGAAATGTTACCATCCTCCTTACATTTTTCAATATCATAATTTGTCTCCCTTTATCTCTATTGCTTTAGTTCTTTTAAACGAAAATTGGTTAGCAACGTCCATTGAAATAACAACAATTAGCTAAAATGTCTTCGATGAATTCATGAATACCTGGTTTTAATTTGTCTGCAGCTTTTTCGCAGGATTCGCAACACCGCGTCTTGTAGATGTCTTTGTAGCATTGTGAAGGCGTTTCCGTTACAACTTGAGCACACGTCTTCTCGAGGAAGGAAAATGTTCCAATGGAATCCCCATGTACACAATTTGCTATAATAAGATTATTCAATTTTTAACAATCTGTCAACCACAACTTTAGCAATGAAATCTGAAGACAACGAACAGTAATCAAGCGCATAAGTCCATTGAAACAATATAAAATTTGGGATAGAGCAGACACGGACCTCTAAAACATCAGAGATGGGATCAGGTGCTATGGAGGAGTAAGCATCCCCTGTCCCCTGAAAACTCCGTAGACAATTCAGTGTGGAAAAAATGGCCTAACAATTGATATGAAAAAGTCTGTCGTCAACATTTGATTTAATGATAGGTTGCATTTGCTGAGAAAGTCATTGTATCGACCATAAAATTTGCGAAATGTTGATTTTAATCGAGACTGTTAATATTTTTGTTTCATCAACTTATTTGTCAATAGCTTGCCTCTTTACAGAAATGTTCATATGTAGGTCATGCTCTTGCGTATCGAATCAACTGGGAAACATATACTCCATATGCAGGTTGTAATGGTGTTGCCACATAAATAAGGGAAGTAAGGGAAGACGATTGAAAAGTTAAAGTTATCACGTTTATCATAAACTTTTGTTGTTAGGTGACCATTAACGGTTTTTTTCTATTAAAAAATCCAAAAGATGTGTCAGACTCTGTAATATCTTTTATTTCGACTTCAGGGGGATATATCAAAACAACGTAGGAATGAAAATGAATATTCTTTATTGGTAAAGCATTGTCGATATATCTAAATGTCGAATTGATGGCCACAGCAAGAAGCTTCTTCTTTTCATGCAGAAGTTTTTAATTAATTCTACTTCATATGAATACAAAAATAGGTCTGCTAATAAAGGGATGCATTAGTTGGAAGACTTGGTCTCCAAAAACTGCATAGAATAGATATTGTCAATCAGAAACTCAATATCTTTTTAATATCAACTACGGAGTACTTGTGTGTACAGTCAGAATGTTTTTTAACAAAATAATTTTGCAAATGATCAATGACAAGGAAGGAAAGTTTACGAGTCCCGTTTTTATTGGAAAAAAGAACTGCTCTCTATGATGTCAAAAGGCCTGGACTTTGATTTATCGTGGGGAATGGTTTTACAGAGTATAAAGTATTGCAATGTCGTACGTTTTATTGTAACTGATTTTTGTGAGGATCTGATAATTTTCTTCGACTCGGGGAATATTTATTTTGTAGTCTATTCCTTAATCATTGTTGTTGACTTTCACCAAATGAAATTGTTTGACTCAGGCAACTTATAAATCTATGGGACTTGGTTTGGTGCGCGTGAAAAGGGGTAGAGTTGTATATCATTGTAAGGAGTCTTTTACATGTATAATCTGGTGTTCTATATTTAAATTTGACGACCGTTATACAATACTTAGATTCATCTAATTCCCATTTAATAGCAATTCTTTTTTAATTTTATTAGAATTTATCATTAAATTTTTCGTTGGTTCATAAAAATGAAGCTCAGGTTCATATCCTGTAACAATTTTATATTTATTTGCCATATACTCTCAAAAACTTCGTATATTCTTGCTAGATGTTTGTTCAACTTAAAGAATGGACGTGATATACACATCCCATCCAAATACTCTCAGTACTATGCTCAGTAAAAATCTTAAATCGTGATCAATGGAGGAGGACTGGTTTTTAATCTACGGATTGTAAACTCTGCTGTAAGTTTCAAAAATTGTATATATTTATTTGTGAAAATAGATTTGTCATTAACATCAGACAGAGATCTTCAGAATTATACTTTCTACTGATTCTTTTCCCGATCAAACGTTTAATTCATTTGTTAAATATTCTTACAAACTTAATACAAGTATCATTATCAGACACAAGTTCTTAAAAATGAACATTAAAAAAAAAGCATTGCATTTTAATAAAAATTCAAAAGGAGTGCTGAACATTGTTATGTAATTGTCTTTCATTTATCCGTAAAATATTGAGGTATGGGGGAAAATAAGTTTTACGTCGAATCGTGTAAAGCATGAAATACGATGTAGAAGTTGATTGACTGAATAAGTTTAAACGATAAAGGTGCACATTACATGAAAATTCAGCTCAGCAGAGCATAAAACTCTGAAAACATTTTGTAGCCCCATTAAATGAATAGCCTACAATGATATAAGGAAGAGCAGTTATGCGCAGATTTAGATGAAATTAGGAACTATTATATGCATTTTCCTAGAATATTGAATCGAAAAACTAAAAACTCTTATCAAAATTTTAGCATTACCGATGAAATATTTGATTTGGCAATTTTCACAATAAATTGTTCAGTTTTGCATGTGCATGATGTAAATTTAAATTTACTTACGATTTTTGCTTGGAGCGTTTGTGTCACTTACACAACGGCCTTCTAGACACCACTAGAATAAAGCAATACATACATTTTTTTCCCTATATTTATGACTTTAAAAAATATACAAGAATCGCTTCATTCAAAATAAATTTGGTACAGATGGAAAAAGTAAGAATATCATATACATGTAAATACAAAAGCCTGGCCTTCATATTTGTACTCTCATTTACAATTTTTACTCTTTTGTCTTCACCCATGCATTTCAAACATGAAGTTATTGCCGATGGCAGGAAGTTAGTCTTACATGTATTACTAATTGTATGTAGTACATGTTTACGCAAAAATATTGTAATTTTCTCATGATAATAAAGTAATGCGACATGTACATCAATGATAGTATCTTTTTAATCAAAGTTGTTCAATTTAATTAACCCATTTTCATATACATTATTAGTTTTAAAAATATTCAAATAGAAACCTTCTTGTCTCCACAAGAGGTCCCCCTAAATGCTGTTCCAAATACAAACGAATCTGCATTCTCTCCTGTGTTACAGGCCATTGAAGTACAAATATCCGCAAAAGATTTCAGCACATTTCCCTGTAATCGGACAAAGACAATAATCATAATTATATGTTCTATTTTAAATTATGTATATTGTTTTAGATGTACATAGATTCGGTTGGCAAAAAATAAATGTCACGAAAAGACATTATATATCTTATGAAATTAATCCGCCCCCCCCCTCCCCCAATATCCAATAAATTTTATGTTGTTTAATGTCTCTCCGTATTACCATATTATCATATCAATGTCATAATCATATATGACTTTTAAATAAAAGCTTTACATAAGTTAATGTTATGGTTTAATCTGTTATCAACACTGCCTTAGTGGTCATAAACGTTCAATCCTTTTCCATGGTATTTATTGGACACGTATAATAAGATAGAAGACCTATATTGTGAACAAGGTTTTGTTAAATTGAAAAGATGCAATTATGAAATATAGATTAAAATATCATTTTTTGAAAATTATATTATTGAATAGGTGTACATGCAGAACATTGATAATATCTGAATGCTATAATGAACACATCTTAGCTGATACAATGTATACATGTAAATGCGTGAAAAAAGTATTCAAAACAAACAATAATAAGATATCTCATACCATGATCTTGAACATTAGGTTATATGAGATCCCCAGGATGAATAGTTTCAATAATATACATAAATATATACTAAGTGTTCAAAATTTCCAAGGATTTCAATGAAGATCCACAATATAAGAAGAAAATACACTGGTTAAACAACAGACAGAACTTACCCATCCATAATATGAATTAGGTCCTACAATGGCTTTGCACTGGTCATTTGGATTTGTTAATTGGCCAGGGTGTGTGGCAATATTCTGATTAAATTCCTTGGTATCGTAAATCAGTGCTTCGTCAGTAAGACAATTGCCAACTCTAGAATCGGGTTTACTTCTGTAATACGAAATGTTGCTTAAATTAGAGAAAATCCACTTTTCCAGCCCACAAAAAAGTATGAATCTTTATAGATTCAACAGTGAAAATTTTGGTATATTTCAATTATCTTTAAAATGAAATATTTTAGGAATGACTCTAATTCTTGGCCAAATTATTCGAGTATAACAGCGTAATATATAAAACAGCGTAAACTGACCCAAACCAGGTTATACTCGAATAATTTGGCCAAGAATTAGAGTCAATCCTTATAATTTAATTTTAAAATCATTAAATAACTACGGGTGTAAAATTTCGTTGCTTTTTATAAGTTCAAATTTGCCGCTCAATAATACAACCGTAGTAACGGAAGTGATGGGAAGCGAGGGGAGGTAAAAACTGATACATAGGCCTAGCAGCCTTGTTGTTTGTTTACATGTGGTAAGGTCGAATTATTGTTTGAAGTTAAAGGTACATTTATTAAATCTGGAATTTTCCATGAATCCCGAGGACTGGAAATGAGAGGATTGTATGGATACAGATGATTCAGCTGGTTGTCGGGGGGGGGGGGTGTCCCCATACCAAACCAGGTTATACAAAAATAATTTGTGTTCCTTTTTGGATATTAACCAATCAGAGGCTAGAATACAAACGAAATTAAATTATCATTAAATAATTCCATCTTTGTCTTATAGTGTTGGCTGTACATTGATTCGATATATAGCCATGAAGCTATCCTACAAGCCTAGCATTAATTCTTAGTCTTAATGGAGATACGGAATTGATCGATATGAAGATTTTTTAATGAATTTTTTTTGTCTGGCATTAATGTTGCCTTCAAGCATTAATACCTTCGTGAAAAGAATGTGTTTATTGAATCAACTGAATTTTTTATTATAAAATATCATGAAAATAGATATTTATTTTCGATGCAAAGAAATGTGTAGTATTTCAGAAATTCTATTAAGTTCAAGGATGGAAAATCTCAAACTCTAGTTTAATAAATCTGAAGACACCAACGAAATAAACTGCATAGTTTTTCTTAAACACACCTTAATTTACTCGAATGAATTTATTTATTTTTATTCCTTCGTTTATCATTCTACCATGAATAAATGATGCTGTTTATATACTTTTAATGCATGACTAAAAGTACCTCTTCAGTCACATTAAAATTTATACATTAATCAGCCATTTCTTTAAATGCACGTAATTAGAAATACATCTTAAGCAGAGTTTTTCATAGACTTCTCCAGATTTATTATTTTGAATTATACAAAATACTAGTACTCACATGTTTGCTATATATTCCCGGAAGTAATCAATAGAACAAGAGGAAAATTTCCAGGGATTATGTTTAGTGGTTTCCGTCGTTTGGCCGGAAACTGCTGTAAGTAGGTACTGGTCCATCTCAGCACAGTCATTACCTACGCCATCATGTTGTGCTCCCAAACTAAAGAAAAAAAATTACAGTCTAATATTAGAAACATTGCTTATGTACCTTCATTTTCCTTACTTACTTAGGTTTGTTACCCCTTGTGGGGAAAAGGTCACCTCTAAGACTTTTTTCATCAACGTATCAACACACTTTTATCGACTTCAGAAATATTTTTGCTCCAGTATCATTGGTTAATCACCGATTGATCAATTTCTATCATTTCCATGAAAGTAATATCAAATAGTTCTTGTTTGACATTGTATTAGAGACATTTTAAAAGAAATGTCTTCTTCTTTTTTTTATTTTGGGTGATCTGAAGAATAAAACTACGCTATTCTGTAGAATGAAATTAAACACCCTATTCTCTTTTTCCCTTAATCTTTTAAATTGGGATTTGATAATTTGAAAATATTTGTGCAAATTTTTCACATTTTTTTTTTCGTGCTCTCTTTGGTGCGAAATTTTCGTACCTTACGTCCTCTTTGCAAGTGGGCGAATTAACAATGAGATAAATTCAAGAAAGAGAACATTATCATTTTAACACAACAATGTCTTGGTGAATTTTAAACGGGGCAAATTTGTTTGGAAGTGTAAAAGGGCAAAAATAACAAAAGGCAAAAATAACTCTGTATGTAGTGTTATTGAACAGTATGTATCAACGATGGACGTGTTTTTAAAGATTTGCATCTCCTTCAAAATTGGAAAACCTGAATCGGCTCCTGTAATTTATTGAAACAAGGGATTTACTCTCTCAGAAATACTGACTGATGTTAAGTTATAGATCAAAACGTTGAAAGATGATTGATTTCCCTAAAAATGGTCTTCAAATTAAAAAAAAAAATGCCTCCCATGACACAGCGGATGTATTCCATCTAATGGTTGTCTATTGGTTTGTCTTGAGCACATGTACAGGATATTTGGTTTCTTTGTGATTGTTGAAAACCTTTACATTTCGTATATCACACATATTTTACACATAATTAGTACAGTATATATAACTGAGCATATAGACAATATCAAGGTCACAAGGTTTTTTCCCTCTGATAAAATGATAACTTAAACAGGGGGAAATCTTAATGGATTTTTATTATCTACAATATATGTAATATACATATTCTGTGAGAAAAATATCAAATGATTAATTTTGCTAGAGCATAACGTTTTAACTCAAATTTATTGTTTTTTTTTAATTTGCTAACATACCTATGACCCAGTTCATGTGCAGCAGTAAAAACACTCTCAAAATTTCCAAAATCTTCAATTACTGATGTACTGGCCTCAGTGCACAAAGCTCCAACGTAAGCAAAACCTGTCAGATAAATAAGAATCAAACATTTAATGAGCATGTTGTTTATGTCTCACGTAGGTATGACACATAATCATTAAATATTCACATTAAAAAGATTGTTCCCTTACATATTTCTTGTTTTTAATTGAAAATTATTTGGTTGAAATAATATTTGAAAGTTTGCCTATTGAATTTTACCATGTGTTGTATTTTTCGATTTTTACCTGTTACGTCTGTTTGATAGTTATTCTTGCTAGGAGAGAAGTAGAGATCTAAGCTGTAAAAGAAAAAAAAATGAATATATATTGCAAAGGAAATACAATTAAGTTAGCTTCGACCAAGTTTTGATGTTCCGACATTTCGCAAACAAAATTTACACTTGCTGCAAAGAACAGATCTTTCACTTTAAAATATTTGTGGTAAAACATAAGAAAGACAAAACATGTCTTAATGCAAAGAACTTTTGAGATATTTTAATTCTATCATTCTTTGGTAGTTCTAAAGGAAACTTTCCACATTGTTAAAAGAAAAATTACTCTGTAAAAAGCATAAGGTGGTCGTGATTCGGTAATGTTGTCTTTCTTCTGAACTCTGTGATGTTTGTAAGGGCCGATTCTATATTTGTCAGCTGTCTCTGCGTGTCGTCAAATGGGTTTCTTACTTTTCCACAAGTAAAACATGGATAGTCAGCAACCTAAAAACGATATTATCACGTTGTGTGATTTCTAAAATGGAAACCTCACGTATACAACATGTACATCATAAGCTAGTGCAAAATCAAAACTAAATCTGGATTTTTATTTTTAGCGATATCTTATTTCTCTTTAAAGATATTTTCAACGATGGCACATGAGTAAGAAGTTTGAATATATACTTTGATCTATACATTTGTATATCTGAAGTTAAAATACGGTTAGAAAAATCCAGAATAAAATAACAACAGCTGGTACCTATATCAATATAAAATAAAGATTAAAGTAATTCATCGTTATTTAATCGGCAAGAAAAGCACTGGGGCAACTAGGAAAGGAATATGGATTATTTTGCACAATAAACGTTTAAACAAAACGGTTTTTTGATCTTTGTAGTGAAAGTAATTAATGAGGATTATCTGGAAAAGGAAACATACAAAATACTCTCACTAGAAAACAATCCGTCACTTCACTTAACCTTAAATATAGATATAGGCCACAATATTACATTTTCAAACAACAAAACCAAACAGACGTATATTCAATAACTAGTTAAAAAAATGAAAGTCATATTTTATACACAGAATTTACTTACGTCAACAATAATGAAACCAGTGACCACTATATTTAATGAGAAATCTCCCTTTATGGTTTTGTAGCGAAGAGCGACCTACAAAAAGAGAACAGTCAATATATATAAGGTGTATGAGTTAGGACACATCAACAGTTTTTCAAGTCTGCTTAAACTAGGAATTGGCCAAAATATATATCAGAACAACTTACATGTATCTCTACAAAAATGAATATTCCTGACATTTCTTCAAATTTTCTTTGCTTGCTTTTTGCACAACAGAGGATGGAGGAATTTCAAACAAGAAGTCCATTAGCCTTGACAGTCACAAGAATATCATGATTTTTTTTTCTTTAAATTACCAACACAAGCCTCATTTTGGACTCGGGTGACTTGGATTTTTTAATTTAAGATATGTGAGGACTCTATGTGTATATTTACTATCATACCTTTAAAGCTCACTCATTATGTTGAGAGTAGGAAAAGATTTCAAATTATAAAGAACATATATAAATGTCTGTGATCAATTTAGATTTTCCCTAGGCCTGATCTCTAGGGACACACATTTAACAGCTACATGTAAACTAAATAGCAAAAAGATAATTGATAACAAGGAAAACAACAAAGCAAAACGTTGGCTAACTAAATATTCAAGAATTCATAAAGTTTTCAAACTTAAGATTTAATTTGTAATAAATTGTCAATGTATGACAACTGAACCCAACCTGGGGCCTCAATTTTGGAAAAAAAGGGACAAGAATGTCAAAATCTTGATTGAAGCTAAATGTAGCTGATCATTATAACCATTCAAACAGTTTGTTCACAAGTTGTACACAAATAGAGACAATTTTCAAAGATGTTGTGTAATTCTAGTATTTAGATATGGCCACTGAGACCTTTTCAAAGGCCTTTAGCATTAACTTGGAAGGATATGAATTTTACAGTTATGATAGAGGTCTAATTAAGTACTTAATAAAATCATACAAAGTGTTTTCCCACTCGAGGTCCGTGTTAAATGCAGAATGTTTTCAAAGATAGTGTAATTTTAATATTTGACTAACTTAGGCCCATCTTAGGGCCTGAACCATTGACCCGTGTGACTTGCATTTTACAATTTTGGTGTAAGTTTAGGCATTATTATCATGCACTTTCTCTGCTTGAGGTCCCTGAGAAAAGAATGGGATTTTGAAAGACAGGGTATATTCAATATATGAGCAAGTTAGCCTCTCCCTTGGACTTGAACCCAAGAGTTGTGATTTACACAATTTTGGTAAATGTGGAGTAAAGGTCTCATTGCTGATGATATTCAAGTCAACAGTTGTACTGCTTGATGTCATGCATTTGAAAAGTAATCCCAAGGTGGGACCTAATCCTAGATACTTAGGGTCTTGCGTGAATTTTGAAATTTTGGAAGAAGGCTTATTATTACTTTTAATAATCATGCAACCAATTCGCCTCTTCTTGACAAGAAGTAAAGAAGTTTTTTGTGATATAATACATTTTCAATACATGACCAACTTAATCCTGCCATGGAGTCTGAATTTTTTTCCCAGGAAATATGAATTTAATTCCTAGTTCTGTTAAAATATTCAGTATTTATCAAAGTCATTCAAACATATTTACTGTTTGATTAGAAAGAAGTAAAGGAGAAGATTCTTTTATATAACATTTTAAAATGTCTTATATATTTGGCCATGCCCCACAGACCCCGGGGACATAGAAATAATGAATTCAGAATTGTTGTTTCCTTCATCTAACAATTATATTTGTTTGAAATATATTTAAGGCTTTCCAGAAAAGATGCTGAAATTATTCAAAATGGATAGCAATGGTGTAAAAGTCAAGCCTTTTGAAAGCTTATACATGGAATTTATTGAAGGTTAAGGGGTTGGGGGTGAGGTAAATTCATTTCCATATAGCATTTTCTCAAATGATGTTATTTCCACTGGTCAGGTTGATTTCTGTTCAGTGATAAACAAAATGGCATTGAATACAATGTTATTATTCCCCAAAAAACCAAAACAGTCCTCGAATTGAATTTAGACCATGTATTTAGTAATTTTAATGACTTAGATTTATTTAATTTTTAGTTATATCTGTAGAGAAAAACAAACATACCCCATTAATCACTTGTGAAAAATAAAGTCTCATCTCCTTTTTAGTATTTATATCACGTTCCTTACTGGTTGCGCCTGTTGATTTCTTATAAAATCTACAAAAAGATACAAAATAAAAATGTTGTAATGAGTGTAAATGTATTATGCAATGTTAAGAAAATTTTATTTACGCTGATCAGAAATAATGTCAAACAAATGGAAAAGACGAGCCGAAAATCGTAATTTGGGTTAACAATTTCATTTCCAGAATGTTTTCCATGCTTTACTTGCAACATCAAACTAAATCAAGTCGATCTTCAATAGACGCAAATCCGTCCCATCAGAAAAAATACAAACCAATGTAAATCCTTTTTTTAATTGAGGGTAAAAAGAGCCTGTCTAGTCATTAATCAATCACAATATTTAAATTGAATCCGTGCTTTTATACCTTTCATATGTAGCATAATCCAGACCTACAAGAATCCCCACGTTGTATTCATCGACTACTGTTGTTACTACGGTCCTCTTACTGGCTGTAGCGAACGCAGTAGGCTTGGCTGAATTGGCCAATCTTTCTCCCAGAACTGGAGCACTATTTATATCCACGACAAGCCTACGCTTTGTTCTGCTACCAAGAGCCCTAAAAGCCTGAAGAGGCTGCACTCGTTCAGGCTTTGGGGTGCTTTTCTCGACAGGTGCTGGGGTAAAAACTGGGACACCTTTATTTGAGGTTCGTGCCCAATCAAGTCTAGACAAGCGGTTCCTGCCGACAGCTGGTCTTCCAAATTTGCCTCTTTCTGGTTTTCTTGTTTTTTCCTTTTTAACTGATAGAAAATAAGTAAATTTTCACTCATTTAATTTTGATAGAAATTTGAAATAAATGGCACTATTGTGTTACAAGATTTTGGTTAAATATTCTTAAAAAGTATAGTTGTACATATGAATATTTTGAAGACCGCATATTCAGGATTTTCCTTTAAAGGACTTTCATACATCCAGTCCAAAGAAAAAAAAACAAAACTCAAGTTTGTTTTTTTAAGAAGAAGAATATCCTAAAGCTTAGATTCTTAATTCGGACTAAATTTGGAATATTTGATATTCCAGTTTTCCTTTCAAGTCAATTTTGCAAATCACTTAGTCTCGAGTTAGCGAGTGCCAATCAATGAGTTTCTATATGTAGATGCGTAAAAACTCAAACGAGCATTTCTTGTCAAAGTTTGTTCATGCTCTTTGTGCTGGGCATAAACTTTTCTTTTTTTTAAATATCTACTTGATATGAACTTACTAATTAAGATACCTTTGTTCAATTAATCTTGGGTAAAGATTATATTAGCTCTAATTTCAATGAGAACACTATCTTTAAAAGGGAGACAATTAAGAAATTAAGAAATATTTGTTTTATGATTCAACATTGTACATATGAATTTTCATTACATTTTTCTCTAATGACACTTTCTATATTAAGTTGATTATGGACGTTAATTGAATATCACAATATCGAAATATATCAATATGAATTACCTTTCTCCCACACTTTCTTAAAATTTCGATTTTTCTTGTTTAATTCCCAATTTCCACTGTTTTTATTGGGTTTTGTCTTCTTGAACAATCCGTACATAACTCTTGTTTTCCTTTTGCCATTCTTATCCACCTTGATATCAACTTGTCGTTTTCGTCTTGCTCCCTCGTTCAATGGTTGCATTGCATATTCCTCTCCCTCTATATATACAGACCCTTGCTGAAAATTATACATATTATGTAATTTGAAGCTTTCAATTATGATGTTATAACAGCCGCGAATTTCTATTAGTTTTTATACCCGTTATGTCAACGATATTGCTGTCTGCAAGACAATTAGATAATTTTATGATAATGTTTATTCTGCTCCCGACTGGTATTGTTTCAATGGATTTTTGAGCTTAATTACTGTATGTTACCTCCATACATGTATTTCATTTTATCTGATCATTTTAGACTTCGTAAAAAAATTTATTTTTATTACATCCCTATAATGTACAAAAAAGCATATTTTCTTTAGATAATTGGAACAAATCTATTCCCCAAACGAGAAACACGAAATTAAAAGAAATACAATTTTTTTTAGACCACATGTTTTAATGCGATGACAGTTGTTTTAGGTCGATTCAGAGAATTTTTCACTCATATGAGAAGTCACCAAAACCGGTGAACGGCTTGAAATTTAGACGTATACTAGTACTCGGCACTCAGGGCCCTTGAATAGTGAGGGGTTTTATCGTTCCAACTGCCTACCGTGATACAGCACGTACTTTTTAAGGTCATATCTGAAAGACCTGTGACTTTCACTTCTGATGCCGGGCGCTTGGTGAAAGAACAGTCACTACCTATTTTATATCTTAGGTTTGATGCGGCGAGGGGAACGAGAATCTAACCCGGATCTACCGATCACGAAGCAAGCGCCCTAACACAAGGTTACCGGGACCGGTTTTTATTGCAATGAAAACAATCCTACATTTATGACTTTCCTTGAACCAATTCGCCTGGAGAGGGGTATTCTTAAGATAGGGTTTTCTGATCTTGTTTTATTTTGTATCATCCAATTACAAGCTAACATTCAAACCTACTTATGATCCAAAATTTGAAGGAAATAAATTGCCAATTCTACTTTTTAGTCACTCAAGACTACTGCATACGCAGAGGGCGCTTAAAAACAACAATATAGATGTTAATTTATTTACCTTTGGGATAGAATGTTTCAATGACCAATTTTCTGATTAATTAACTAGATTTTGCTATTTTGTCTCGTTTCCGATGCGTAATATGTAGGAAAATATGTTACAATGTAATAAATCACGAACAAATTGGATTTATTTTCTAACTGCATGTAGATAAACATGAATTGGTGTAAAATACACCTTTGCTTGCATAGCTCAAAAGAGAAAGAAAACACCCATTAAAAAAGAGTTTAAAAAGAGATACAGGAGGTTTGTCTCAAAATTCCGTAGACAAGCGTTGTTTTGTAGGAACCCGGTGTCATATATTGATGAAACTTTGTACAGCGATTAAACCATCAATAACTAATAAATTTATGGACAAATATTGAGTAGTTACACAGATAAAGAGAAAATAAAAATTCTTAATACTGTATTGTTAACTATCTTTCCTCAAAATTTGGTGTATATGCTTTCATTAATATGAATTTTATAACGTTTAATATCCACCGCTTTAATCTGACGTGCTGAAAAAAAGGACACAGGCGGCGCGCTAGACTGTGATCAATTGTTCTGATCTTGAATTCACTCCTATACAGAAACGCCTAAGTCATAAATGTTTGGTACACTTGGAAATGTTTCCTGTTCCTTAGTGTATGAAAGTAACTGAAACGGTTTCTCTAAGTATGTGAAGGAGGGAAACTAAAAAGAGAGATCGGAATCGGGCATGAGTGATACTGTGCAACTCCATAAGAGAAGACAAATTAAACGAAAAACTCGTACATGTAAAACAAAGATATTTTCTTTAAGGTCATCTTTAAAAAAATGTTTGATTGCCCTCTCCTGACCGACTGGCTAAAAATGGCCCGACTGAAAACTTTTTTTAACCTCCAGGAAGCAATTTTTTTTATGCATTCCAGAAATAAGATTTTGAAAATTCAGCATTGATTTTGAAATTTTCTTTTAAAAAAAAATTTTCTCACCTACCTACCGACTCAGTTTTCTCATCCTTAGTCGGGAGAGGGCTAGCAAACGTTATTTTAAAGTTGGCCGAATATAATTTTTTTTTTTTGGATACTTTATTCACATACTTTAATGCTTAATCATTTTATAATGGTTAAGATATTTCACATTTATATCTTTAATCTTGATGATGAATTATGGCTATATAGTATTTCATTCTGTAAATAAGGGTAACCCCCATCTCTGAACCGGTGACGTTTTATCTTTTTTTGATGTCAGAGATTGCCCCGGGTGTCAAGAAACGATAGTACGACATTTCTTATTACTCAAATTATTTTCATGTAATCATGTTAAAACTTTGTAACTTTTCAGCCAACAACATACTTTATCCACCCAGAAAATTTTATAAAGATATATCAATTTCTGAAAAAGATTTATTTCTTAAGAAAACCATTGCCATTAATCAGCCAGTAAACAACAATAAGCATATCACCTGTACAGATTCTTTAACCTGTGGTTCTTCCATCAATGAAACATACGGCGTACATATTAGTAATACAGTTCTGCTGGGGCCTGTTTTACAAAAGAACTTACGACTAAGACCAAAAACTTGCACTGTAAGTTGATTGTAAAATTTTGCAAAATTAATGATTCTATTTGAAATTCCTAGCATATAAATATTTTGTTAAATTCTGTTTAAAAAGATTAAATTCCTTTTTAAATCGATGTAAAATTAATAGAAAGTAGTCAGCATAATTTAATTTTGGTCTTAGTCTTAAGTTCTTTTGTAAAACGGGCCCCTGAATCCTACTTTAGATGATTATTTGTTCAGATATAAATATAAACAATAAAATGTCTTTCTTTGTCTGTTAGCATGGAAATTAACGTTACAGCTATTGCAAAATAAAATAAATAAATAACATAATCGCTTACGCGTGTATTGCATTTTTTCTGCAAACAGCTGCAACATTAATTCCCATACTAACAACCAAAGAAAGCATTTTATTGTTTAAATGTAACAATTAAATGGTACAAACGAATGATTGTCATAAATGCTTTAATTTTCTTCACCCCATCCCTCTTTTTTTTTTTACCTCTACGAAACTCAGAAACAGAATGGATGTTCCAATTTTAAATCTGTTATTGAACATATCCATGAAAGTCTTATTTTTTGTACATCAAATTTTAAGGGTTACTGTAAATGTGCGTATTTTAGTGGTAATCATATTTTAGATCCTTTCCCGTTGAATAATATTATATATGTTTCAACCTCATACATAATGTTTATAAGAATCAAACGCAAGAATTCATAATTGCGCTAAACAGATGAAGAGGCCTAGAAAGATTATGCTAAATTTTGATTGGACTCATTATGTATTTACAGAACATATGATACTCTATTTGTAAACACAATCTTGGCTTGGTTAAAAGGAGAGTATAAAGTCAAGTTACCAATGTCTTTGTGCATTCCCCGTTCGCCTGTTGTTGGTCACATTTCATAAGAAAAGCTCCACCATTTTTTGGATCGTGGTAAAATGCCACTGACTGTGGAAAGAAAATACGAGTCTATTAAGGATCATTGCCAGAATATGATTTTACAGACAAAAATGCAGAAACCAAATTTTATCTACATATAGAAAAATTATTGGATATAAATTATTTATTAAATATAGAATTCCGATCGGCATTAATTTGTTCCTTCATCCTGTTCATTAGCCGATATTTTTCAAATATATCGACTACTTTTTATCAATTAACAATAGTTATTTTATTCATATGACGACTTGATATATCCCAGTGAACTCGAAATAGATGACATCATAGAGTCTGCTACACCTTTTTTTACTAACTACATACATTAATGGACAATTAACAACTAATGACAAACGGGATGACTTCAGCTTTATAATCGTTAACTTCTCTACTGTATATCACAATTTTTTGGGACAGCTTATTTTCTTGAGATAGGTTTTTGGTATTTATAAGCAAGAAAAGCGAATCTTAATTATTGTTGTATATAATCTTTAATAACGAACATAAAGGCAAAAAAAATGAAATTTTTCGCGTGCAAACGTTCTACTTATATAAAGTTCTCGTGAATAAAAAGTGATTTAAAGTATTTATTAACCTCTCGTGGATCTATGCATCCGTGATTTTGCCCTGTTAAAGATTTGCATTCTTTACAGAATTGAAGAGATTGACTTTTTTCATTATCTAAACTTTTTCAAATATTTTAAATGTATGTAATAAAAAAAAAAATATCCGAAACTATTGTAGCAAAACGAGATAATTCTTACAGAAATGAATTTCCTTAATTCTTATGCTTTAGTTTCTTATCCTTTTTGCTTTTTATGCTCTCATATTGTAATACTACTATACCTCTGGAAAATTTTCTCCTGGAAATATGGGTCCCTAGCTACTTCTTTCCATAATTTGAAATTGTGCATATATATTGAAATTTTATCCATAGAGTATTTGCACCATATACTCTTTTTCAGTTAGATTTACAAGATTTCCTTGTAAGTGAACAGTGCATCAGTTAATTATACTGGAATGCAGTCCAAGGTCTTTTCCTGGTAAATTCTCCGTATGTTTTGTATTCATTTAAGCATGGATGGTTATTTTATGTACGTCAAAGTGACATAAAATATATGTGTGTGCTAATAAATTGAATTAAGTGCCTTCTGCTCCAAATAAATATATATTTTTAAATATTATTTTCTTGTAGCTTTTTCACTGTGGTGTCATTTTTTCACTTCATAAACAAATAAGATGCAAGTTGTGTTAAGGGAGTCTAGAAGAAACACTTCTAAAATGTATTTTATTTAATGAAAAAAGCATATAATTTCTCATTGTAGTCATTACTCTATACCTATATATTGTATTTTGATAGGTAAATGTTTACACATTATTAAAACGTTGTCTTATTTTAGCTCTTACCGAATCTGCAGGAACCTCATCTCGCACTAAAACTGACTTTCCATCTGAGGTAACTCTTGGAACAAGAACAAAGGCATTTGCATTCAGTTCATCATACCTTTCCAAATGAAGTTCTAGATTTTTATTTTTGTTTCCAATATTTAAACCAATATCTATATTTTTAGGATTTTTTTCCTCCACTGGAGCTTCTACTACAGCAAGGTCCGTAGGTGATTCTGCAATGGCAAAGTGTTAAATATATTCAAAGATTGTTTCTAAATAGAAAACTTTAATGCGTATTTCATTTAAATAATCTGTTATTGGTGGAATTCTGCAAATGAATTGATGAAATGCAAGTGAGCATAAATTTGGGTATTCATACATAAAAAATGATATTACTGAGTTAAAAGTTTAGCGTATTATTAATTCTTATGATATATGTTTCATAATTTAAACATAGTATATTTTATAAAACACAATATATCTTTCCTTGGATTGTAATGTCTACCACCAATGATGTTCGAAAATTTTAACTTGCTCTCGACTTTTCTTAATAGTATTTTACATTATGATACATTACTAGGTTATAAATTTTCTCCAAGCTCTACTTTTAAAAAAAATTCTGGGTTGGTTGATTTATTGGGAATTAGGTTGCGGTCTAGTTAAATTCTTAATATGGACTGAATGTTAGTATCTAAATTGGACACTAATTTTCCCTCGAATATTTTTCACTTGTTGATAACACAGAAAAAATGGGCAAATATTATTTTTATGTTTGCATTACATTTTGAGGAGAAAAAAGTATCCTCACTATCGTATAAGATGCGTAGATAAAAACTAAGTCTTCAAGAAGAACAGATATCAAACAAATATGAAAATTAAATTATATATGCCAAAAGAGATTGTAAAATCATTTTAAAACTTTGCTTATATTTCCATAGCTTCATTGCTAAGTTTACTACAATCAGAAATTATATGCTTTTTTCATTAAATAAAATACATTCAAGAAGTGTTTCTTCTAGACTCCCTCAACACAACTTGCATCTTATTTGTTTATGAAGTGAAAATATGACATCACAGTGAAAAAGATATAAGAAAATAATGTTTTCAAAATAAAATAGAATAAGCGTTTAACTTAATCATCGATTTTAAACACTTTTTGTTTTATATTAACGATGAAACATTTTTTTTAATTAAGGAATTATTTTGAGAATTAATACGTACCATTTGTTTGTGAATACGTTTCATCCCACACTATAAAGCAAATTAGAAAAAAACACAAATCTTTAATCATTGTCGATGCACCTTTTTCATCTGAAGATATTTTACGCAAGGAGAACAAAATATAGGGTCATTTTGCGGTAATTAATCATTCTTGCACGGCTTTGACGGGCGCAGCCTGTTGAATATCTATACTTAAAAGGTTTGTTTTACGCAAATTCATTCATGCATGAAAACAAAAAAAAATGCTAATAAGCGATTTGTTGTGTGCTTTGAAAACAATTATTTAAGTCTTATGTCCGGTACGTTTACGTTTTGAATTTACAAATACAGAAGTCATTTTACGTAATATTAATGTGAACTAACAGTTTATTAAAACAATCAACCGTATTACAGTTTCAAAGACCAAAGAAGACAGTGGTTTTCTTAAAGAATCTTTGAGGAAGTTGCGATAAAACAGAAATTACATAATACATCATATGTACTAATTCCTGCTTAGACAGTGTGTCAGGACCTTGATTCCAGGTCAAATTCCAAAGTCACTGTAAAGAGGTTGAATTAAAAATTCATTCTTGGCCATTTTTTTAAAACCGCAAGTAAGACTGACTTAATACTACAACCTTAGGTTTTCCCATAGAGACTTGCTTGACCTTCGAATTTGTACAAATATCTGGAAGGTAAATACTTTCAAGTAATTTGGAACATGGTCACACATAAAATATAAGGAATTGGTTATTGTGGCTGTTTAGCTGTTCCTTTTGTTTGGCCCAAATAAGAGAAGTTAGATTTTGGAATTAAGTCTTTTAAATTTTTTGATTAATCGGTGAATACGAGTAGTGCATGCTTAATGGTAATATTGTATATATATGTATATATTGTTTTAAATAGAGATGGTTTAAATATAGCCAATGAGATTCCAAGAATGTGTATTTTTCTGATTAAGATTTAAACCGAGATATTTATGTTTATGATACAAAAAGAAGGAAGTCGATCATGTTTGATTTAAATATTTAAACAATACATGTAAAATTTATTCTTTGTTAAACATTTTACATATAAAAAAATAGAGAATATGATAAATTTAAAATCATTCTGATGGTCAACCAAAATAAATAAATAAAGCAAAACGAAACAAAACATCCCCTTCCAAAAAAAAATTAAAAATTCAAAACCAGGATATTTTTCAAAAATCATGTTCTTTTCGCAAGTAAGCAAAATGGAAGGGGGGGGGGGGTTAAGATGATCTTTTATTTCATGGTCCTGTGTTGGTATCAATCAAAATAAACCAGTATTATTTAATCGTGTCCATTTTAAATTTAAATTGATGGTGGTTTTTTATTATGTTGGTGGGTTTATAACACATCATTTGACGTACGCTAAAGAAGAGCAAAACGTGACTGTATGATTGGTGTACTTCAGTAATAAGTTTAAAACAATGCAATACAAAGGGTGAAATTGTATAATGATCTGCAGCTACATTCATTTCTTATCATTGGTTAGAGATCCAAAAATTTCTTAGAATTGTTTTTACTGTTATTCGGATTTTGCTACTATGATTTCCCGATTCCATGAATTGAAATTTTAGTAATAACTTGAGTATTATTGTCGGTAAATATTTACGCACATGTTAAAAGTGTAATGGATGATTTATGACAGCGTAAAAATTGTGCAATATATTTATTTCATCGTGGGAATTGAATCTAAACAAAATGCCCACGTTTGCATGGTCGGATACATGGACATGCATGCACAAGTTGAAATTACTAGTATGAAAACCGCTCTTAGTTGAAAAATACTACCTACTTATTTTTGTGTAGGGATATCTGCTCATAATCATGCAAACATTTTTCTACTAGATGTCCACGAGTACGGTAATGTATAAGATTCTCAAAGACATAATGTATGTTTAATGTTTAACCAAAATAGCCCCACCCTGAGGTCTGAACCTTGGTCAGGGATGTCATGAATTTCCAAATTTTGATAGAGGAATAATTGATTATAATCATGTACATGTAAACAGTATTCTGATGAATGTCTACGAGAAAGATAAATCTTTTTTTTCAAAATATAACAACACATTTCCATACTTGCACCTGATCGCCAAACCCGGAAGCCATTGAATTTTACAATTTTGGTAATTAATTTTAATTGATGTAATTGTGCAAACTGTTTGCCCTGTGGTCTGTAACATGTACAAGGGCAGAAACCTCACACAATTAACACAATTTTGGTAGAAGGGAAAGTGTTTGATATTGCCATTGAAATCAGGCCATCAGTTTGTCTGCTAGATGTTCAGAAGAAGAGAAGATTTTAGAGATTAATCAATTTTGATATAGTTTTAGCCTCCCCCCTCAGGTTCAAGGGAAGCAGGCACCATGAAATTCACTACATTTACTGTTAGAAATGGTCCAGGAACTGCAGAAGAAATTGAAGTGTTATAAATATTACTGAGGAAGCAGAACACACGACAAAGGTCGAAAACCCACTAGCAATAAGTCACCTGAGTGACCTAAATGAACTCAATATGAAGACTACATTTGGAAATATACTTCTTTTTATTGGTTTCTGATTTAAGTGAAAAGTGTTTCAACATTTATATAATGGTGTTTTGCTTTGCATGTACTTTGCCTAAATAGTAGTCAGGGTTTGACACATGGTGCAAGAGCAGGAGACTTATTTTTACAAGACTTTACATTAGGCAATGAGTCAAGACGTTCCGACCGATTAATCAGTTAATCGTATCAACAGTTCTCGATATATTTCATCATTGTAAGCTCTATTCAAATTAACTTCAAATGTTACATGTAGTATATGAAAGTTATATTCTTTTTGGTTTAGGGCTGTTGACCCCTTACAAGGCCAAACTTACTTTGTATTTTCGGATTATGGTGATTATGTATTTGTTACCTTTAAAGGTGTTTTACGTGTTTTTTGTCTTTTTAGTAATAGTTCATTATGTAATCATATATTATAATTTTTTGTATTTTACATGTATGTATTTTACATGTTTTTTAATTTTAAAATTTTTTACCTCAATTTGAGTAAAAAATTTTTCGCAATATAATCTGTTGTTTTGTCTTTTTTGCTACTTCATAAACAGGGGAAATTACATGTATATACAGGGTGAAATTTCTGTTTGTCCTGATGAGAGAGGAAGACATAAATGTATTTTATTTCAATTTTAATCAGAAAAAAGTTAAGAACACATTCTGCATTGTGAATCATAATCAAAACTAAGTCTGAACTATCGCTTAATTCACAATGTTTGTTTAATTATATAATTTGATAGGTACATGTAACTGCAAAGGATCGAAGAGGTAAGGTACACATTATAATCATTTCACAGTTCTCAACAATCATTTAATTAACATTAAAGAAACAGGACATGGTGTTTAAAAAGCAGTTAATACTTCACAAACTGACCAATTACCCCCAAGATGTCAGTCCGGAAAACCGTAATTATCTCCAAATCAGACTAATTAGAAAAGTGAAAATGCTAACATTTCAGATATTTTTATTTATATTTTTAATTGAATTTTCATGAAATTGTGTAAAATTCAAATTTACATAATTTTTTTTTCTTTTCTGACTAACCGATTATAGATTTTCTAACCGATTAACATCGTTCCGACCGAGTAACTGGTCAACCGATTACAAATTGCCATCCCTAATATATAAATATATAAAATCATTTTTCTAACTTTTATTATACTTCCAGCTTGAAAAGTACATAGTGATTGGGTGTTCGTCTTGACTTCCTTCGGTAAGTACATGACTGTACGTCCGTAACACTTGGACCCTTTGGGGTACCCATCTCTTATCCGTAACTCCTCCTATTCCACTGAATAAAATTTAATGAAGTCTCAAAGAATCTTCATTACAAAGTCCCATTGTCCATGCACCTCACGTTTTAAGTTTTTAGGGGGTTTACTATACCAAAATATTGAAACAGCTTAACATTTCCTGTAACATTTTGGGGTATCCATCTCTTATCTGCAACTTCTCCTATACCACTGAATAAAATTTAACGACACTTACAAAGATTCTTTATTACATAGTGCCATCGTGCACGTCCTATTTTATGTTCTGATCGGACAGATATTTGGTGGTTTCCCATAGCAAAACACGGATACTGCCTTTATATCTATGATAACGGGAGTACCCATCTCTTAATCACAGTTCCTCCTATACCTCTGAATTAAAATGTAAAGGCACTTTCACAGAATCTTTATAACGTAACGTAGTGCCATTGTGCACCTCCTTATGTTCGCATGGTCAGATATTTGGGGTTAACAATAGCGAAAATAGATATTGCCACTCTTTCTATAACAACGGAGGTATACCTATCTCTTATCCACAACTCCTCCTTCACTACTGAAATTTAATTGGACTTTCACAGAATCTTTATCACAATGTACATAGTGCTATTGCGCACCCCTTTTTTATGTTTTGATCGGACAGTTATTTGGGGTTTACAACAGCAAAAAATGGGAGCAGGGGGTATCATTTGTGAGCTCTGTGCTTACAGTACCTCTAGTTTTTAATCAGTGTTTGTAGATAACTATACTGGGTGCTTGTATATCTTGTCTGAGTTACAAATGGCAAGTTTTGACTATTTAGACTTATGAAAAACTGTTTTAATATAATATTTAAGATATTATCTTTAAAATACTTTGAAAAATTCAAACGTGACAAATCTTGCTCCATAATTAAGACATGCAATATTTTGACCTACAGATCACACTTAATTATCATAAAATGACGTTTAAGAAACATAGAAAACCCTGTACGATTTCAAAACAATATGTGGAATTAGGAAGGGGTTTTTATGACCAACAAAATCTAAAAATAGAATTTTACCTTTTCGAATATATTACTTACAGGAAAGGAATGGATTAACAAAATGTTTCAGTGTGATACAAATGCCAAAGCATTTTGTTTAATATTTGATAGTCCAAGGATATACTTCAGGTTGGAATCGAGAAAAAAAGTCATATTGTTTTTTTTTCTTAATTCTGTTGTAATTGCCACAAATTGCTTTAGCTGTAAAGCAATAAAATTGCTTGTAAAAATTATCAAATTGCTTTAGTTGTATTAAAATTGTGATCAACTACAAACTATAATCAACTACACACAGCAAAAGCAA